CTAAAAAATTTATATGTAAATTACTATGTTTAGTCGATTTAGTCGACTAAATCATATAGCCGATTCCTATCCCTATTTTACATTATTTATACAGTTTAAAGTATTTTTTCAAAAAAATAAAACTACAAAGAATAAATTAATGACTTAAACGACCAATCATATGAAAGTCGTCCTATGAATATTATATAGCGTCGTGTAAAGAAATGTATGTAATTTACAGTATTAAACATTAATATAAAACTTAAATTTAAGTTCAAGCATATTTTAATCTCTTAGCAACTCAAGCGAAAAAGCTGTGGTATGATCAAGTTATGTAGTTATTGATTTAACTGAATTGACAGAAATCAATAGACGACATGCAACATATATATAGATTAGATTTATTAACTTCTTTATTGTATATAAATTTCATCTTGGTGTAAAATTTCTTGCATTTCTAAAGAAATTTTTTATTCATCATTTTTATATTAAATACTTCAGAATTGTGATGCGCGCTTCATGCATATTTTGAGTTAAGCGATTTTAACAAATAAAAACATTTAATTATGTTGAAAAACAAACCTTATCTATCCTACATATCGAAAAATAATTAGATGAAAAAGAGCATTTATAATAATGAAGGTAGTTATTGATTTTGGTGCATGTGGTTTTAATCCTTTTCGCGAGAACTTTGTGCTAGGACATGTAAAACAACTTCATAAGACAAAAAAGATATTGTATCAAAAGTGTTTCTAAATTTAGAACATCCCAATTGAGTTTTAAACTTTTTGTTTCATGACTTAAGCTTTTCTTATTTACTAGCGCTTTACAAGCTGGTTCCAATGTGGAGGTTAGTTCAATAAACCTTTCATTTCAGGTAAATACTAAAATTCCATCAGATTCAAAATAAACCGGCTCGTATTCAGAGTATTCAAGCTATTAAGAAATGGTCTCGTTACAGGTCATTTAGAAGATCATCCCAGCATTTAGAATATAATTCAAGGGAGTATCATTTATGGTTTTTCCATCTCTAGATATTTCAAGACAAAGCCCAATTAAATCCTTTCCACTAAAAGGGATTTTACAGCTTGAAATTTCTCAAAGGATACCAATACTATAAACGTCTGATTTTAATTTGGTTGAAAATCTTTTGGGCCATATAGGAGAGAATTTCAACAAATTATTACTAGTTGACATTATACTATTGAGATTTTTTGATAAGTCAAAGTCAGCTATTTTTATGTTTCCGTGATGAATAGAGATGTACTTCGAATGTTAAGAAAATCCGTATCACTTATTAGATTAAAATAACTTTAAATAAATTATTTTAAAATACTGTAATGCATACCAAATCGCGATGATTAAAATAATTTAAATAAATTATTTTAAAATACTAATGCATACCAAATCGCGATGATTAATTGTACTGCTCATTCAACTTTTTTCTCAAGAAAGTATAACGATCTTCAAATATTCTTGTAAAGTCCCACAGTCTGAGTGTTCCATCATAAGGTAGTAAACTTCACTATTATGTTCTTTACCATGATTAAATATTAATAAAAGTATACATTTGCATGAAAATAAGGATATAAAATTTTTATCATCGCTGTTTCTTTTACTTATTCCATAAAATTGAATAATTCGTGGAAGCAAAACTTGGTTATGTAATTTTAACTAATTAAACATTATAGAATATTGAAAATTATATCAATGTACAATTTGGATAATGTGACAATTTATATGGATATGTCCGCGTCGTTACAGGACTTAGGTCGATCTGGAATTGGCACCTGTCGGGTGTCTTGACTAAAACCAATATCATTATTCATAATAATTAATAATTATAATATTATTATTATGATGATTATTATGTTTTTTTCATTGCTTACTCAAGAAACGTATTTGACGGGTACTCACTAATACTATGAGCATGGCCATCTTGAAGATTATAGGTTGGACGTTTGTTGATTATTATTAGTCGATCTTCTATTGTTACGAGTTGAGCAGAAAGGTTTTGTCTGGCTAATGAAAGTATATTATTTAGTGGTACAACGTTGAGAACAGGATAATCAGGGGTACCAAGTGGCTCAAGTTCATTTGCCGAGTACCAATTGTCGAGGATCCAAATTTGCAGGCGACTTGGTAAAAATCACGGTTAGGTTTTTCTTTGAATGACCTTGCATGGTAGAGATATTTGATCCATCATTAATTTATCAATAGTAGGAATGCGAATTTATACTAAATCACCATGTTCGTATGTTCGATTTCGTTTTGTTTTATACTTTGCTTCCGTTTTGTTTTTAATAAATTTACGGGTTCTTTTAACATGTAAAAGAGCAGCATGTCAAATAATTTCATGGTTTGGATGTAGGCTGAGATGGATTTGTAATATTAAGTAATGGTATTCTAGACTAAAATAAAATTATAAAATAAAATAAAAAATAAAATAATAATAATATATTGTTATCCATGTTCACTGTTTTCTTTTGAATTCAATATCTACATTTCTATTTCAGGTGGTTCAACAGAAGTAGCCCGTCACTTTTCCTTTTGAATAGCAGTATATCGATTTTCAATTGATTCTGAATCACTAATTTCTATAATTTCTTGAAGTTAATGTTTTCATCAATAATTTCGTTACTATAATCTGATTTCAGAGCTACTGTACTTTCAAAATTCTCTAATCTAAATTCAGAACCTAATTCATCGTCACCAAATTTAAAACATCCAAATTCAGAACCTAATTCATTGTCAACAAATTCAGAACATTCAATGCTTTCTAATTTGGGACCTTCTATGCCTTCTAATTCAGGACCTCCCAGCCTTCTAATTCGAGACCTTCCATGCCTTTTAATTCGGGACCTTCCATGCCTTCTAATTTGGGACCTTCCATGCTTTCTAATTCGGGACTTTCTACGCTTTCCAATTCGGGGTCTTCAATGTTTTCTAATTCAATATCTTCTTTTATGGTGCCATCTAATAATATCCAAATTATAATTTTCATTATCATCACAATTATCATTTTTCGCTATTAGAATGTCACTTGAATTTGTATCATTATAAGGATGTTGAACGAATACAATACAATAGGGTGTCGTTTTATGAGAAGGACAATATTGATTGTTCATCGCCCTGTATAATAAAAAAATTAAATAAAATAAATTAAAAATAAATAAAATAAAATAAAAAATAACAAAATTATAAAGAAAACAATCATAAAAATAAATAAAAAATAACAAAATTATAAAGAAAACAATCATAAAAATAAATACCATATAAACGCGGAATAACGCCCATGGGCGTTATTTTGAAAATCGGGATCTTCAAAAATAGCATATGTAGTTTTAAATTAACGCCCATGGGCGTCCCAAATTAACGCGCACCCCTCGCATAAAAAATTATGTCACAAGCATATAGCAGTATAAATATGATCTAAATCACGGAAACAACAAGCTAAACACGTAGCCGGGTATCTATATTAAAAATTTTGATCTTTAGTGTGTCTACCCATAGCATAGCTCTTTCATATCTGTTCTGCGCCATATTTGAAGAGAATTTAATTTATGCATCTGATTTAAATATATACCGTATGACGAATATAATGACAGAGAAAAATAAATTACTTCAAATTGTTACCAATGCTATCACTAATAATAAATATTTTAAGCATGTAAAATAGAAATTTAGCAAATGTCGGACGTAACGGGCGAAATGTTGATTTCAAAATAATGTTAAACGAAGAATGATAACGTAAAAAAATCTTCATTTAATTGATGACCTAATAAAATTACTGGTAAACTAGCACGTCTTTCGTCTGTGCCTTTTTTTATTAAGTTTAGTTAGATCAATGACTGTCGGGATCCAGATGTTAAACATTACCATAATTTAGATGCGTCTTTTTGCTAACAAAAATTGAAAATTAATTACCGGTAAAAAACTTTCACCCATTATTTGTTTAATATCTAGTAACTGCATTATCCAAACTTCAGCAATAAATTATGCTTTATATTCAATTCCAAATCTCAATTTTTGATGATAAATAAACGCCATATTTTAAACATGTGCCAGTATTCAAGTTTATTTGTATCATCTCAGTTTGTGACAATGGATGAATGTTTATTATTCAGCCCAACCTCAATTACGCTTGATAACCGTTAAATGACTGCGCAACAGAAAAATTAAAGAAAAAAAAATAAATTTTTTTTTTTAAAAAAAAAAAAAAATAAAAATAAATTTTTTTTTTTAAAAAAAAAAAAAAAAAGAAAAAATGACAATTTTTATTTTTTTTTTAAAAAAAAATTGCACTATTATAATATAGGGGGCCTTATATTCGTTCTGCTGGTGGATTCTGTTTTGTGCGGTGGGTTATCAATAAATAGGAAGATAAGTATAAATTTGTTTTTTTTTTTATAATAATCTATTATTTAATAATTTTATTACCTTATTTATCATCAATGTCCATCATATCGTCAGAGTCATCATCCGTCATACTTTCATCATCAAGCTCATTGTCAGGATTTGATTCATTATCTACATCATCCTGATTTGATGGTTCATTATCTTCTTCCTCAGAAAAGCATACCTCATTCAGACGGTTTGCGATAATAGCTTGAAGGTGGCTTGTCATCTTGTCATCTTCACTGCTATCAGGGTTAAGCGTAAGTTCAGATGCTTCAAAAGACCGAGCCAAAAGATCTGTGCTGATTTCCCTCCTTGTTTCAGAAACCCATTCACATACTATTTCGTATGACACTTTTTTGCGGTTTCATTTTTTAGTAAACCCGCCTTTTCCTTCGTCCAACCATTTTTCCTATCTTCGCGTCATGCCATTTTTAAACAGCTTGTTCACTGATACATCGGGCGGTTGCAAAATACAAGTAGTCCACCAGGTATCTCTAGGACATCTAAACCTTCCTAAACAAAAAAAAATTAATTTAAAAAATGATCATATAATTTTGGTAATCAGAATTAGAATTGAACTTATACATTCTAATTAGAATCTATAAGTTTAATACTCCAATTGCCTAATAATGATTCTAACTTTACTATTATAAAAAACAAAACTATAGCTTTACCATCTTTAATGCTTTAACTACATCATCACGGATATGACTGCGGTGGCGATCAATGAAGATTATA